CAAAACGAAAAGCTACGAATATAAAAAGCGATTTTTAAACACCACATGTATTTTTGACGGAGATTTTTTAAAAATACATATTTTTCTTTAAGTAATTATATCATCAATGAAGACATTTAATCGATGATATATATTTTTTTCGATTGCTACTCTGATAAGATTTACAAATAATATATTCATGGTATCCGCTATCTCTCTCTTTCTGTTCAATAGTCGTTTCAGGATTCATCTGGTATCCTACCATTTCGTATCTGCCAAGCCATTGTGAAATTTTTGAAACGCATTTAGTTAAATAGTAGACACTTTTATCGATATATACGACACAATGCAGCCTCGAAATCTTTATTGCGTGTGAGTGAAAAACCGTTTTGTTTTTAAAATTTTGTTATTTTTAAATTCTTTCAAAATCGATAATTTTGAAAGTCACATATCTCGGAGATAGAGTAACGAAACAAAATATTTTTTTTACCAATCGATAGCTTATGGAGTTCTGTAACAATATTGTTTTGGGAGTTTTCAATACCATACTTCCTGTATTTTCTGCAAAACTTTGTATGAATGGGTCAAAAATGACCCAACAGGGTATAAAGGGTTAAATAGCATCTTAGAATGATTATGACCATGCAGAAGCTAACTTCTTGATCATATGGCTCAATAATCTATGCAATGGGTAAATAACACATTGTACGCATGTTCGAACCTAATCTTCATCCTTACATATTTCCATTTAGACTAGTCCGGACTGGTCCATTACACACAAGACTGCATTTTGTCCTATGTACCGTCTCTGACGTCCTTACTTTTTCAGTTTTACACTCATTTTGGACGGGCATTGCTGTCGCCCGTCCTGGCTAGTCTTTGTCTCAAAAAGTCCTCGTCCTTGACTAGTCTGCATTTCAGACAATAATGTTTCGTATAAACCGACTTCGGATCAGTCCTAGACTAGGTCTTCTCAAAAAAAGCCTAGACTACACTCGTACAATGTCTCCCATCAATCAGGTGATTTAGACGGAGCTTTATGACGACCAAAAATTCCGGACTAGTCATGTCATAGTCGAATTTGAGACAAAGACCGGACATGACGGGTCGACATGACTAGAAAAAAGATTAGTCATTTACCTCGTCTTTTGCTCACTTGGGTAATATCTTTACTAACATTTCGTGTCAACGTAGCTGAAGCTTTGCTTCAATCTAATCCATCGCCACCACCAACAGTCAAACGGGGTCGTCCATCATTACAATCAATAACTAGTGACCAAACGTCTCTAACATCATCTAGAGCTACACCAAATCCACCACCATCAAAAAATATTCGAATGGATAAATTTGATCATTGGCCGATTCACATAGAGAAAGGCTACTGTCGAAATCCTAGTTGTACTGGTCAGCAGAGATGTCCATCGCGCCGCTGCCGCGGCCGCGGTAGGCGGCGCGGCAGCGGCAGGTTTTTTTTATAGATTAGCGCGGCGCGGCAGATCATTCATAACGGTGCCGCGGCAGCGGCTTTTCATTTTTTTAGCCACCGCGGCAGCAACGCGGCACGATTTTTTTGCACAAAATTTACTCTATAATTCTAAAAAATTTCCAGCTTCACAGCTGAAATTAAACTTGTCTTTCACATAAAGTAGACAAATCGTATTCTTTTTCTAAATGTTGCATTTTACGGTGATTTTAAAGTGCAGAGACAAATAAACGCTTTAAGCTTATCTAAGTTAATTACGTTGGTACGAGAAATATACTGATTACAATATGAAAGTGTTTATTGTATTGCCTTACGTCTAATAGATATTTTTAATATCATTTTCAGTTCATGCTTTCATTGCTAAAATCTTTTTCCATTCTTTTTCTGTATTAAAAATGGCAATCATGATAAATAGTCGTAATTAATCTGTTTGTTTTAATGTTATTTTTTTATTTTTTTGCAGATTTAGACCTATCAAACTATCGCAAACTGAAAATGAACAACAAGAGTTTATAAATATCGTGCATATTAATGCATTTTATAATTAATTTTCTTCTTTAAATTAGAATATAGAAAGGCACATGACATGATTCTTTGTAGGTTTTAAATCAATCATTTTCATGTCATACATTTATATGATTATACATATCGTAAATATTTAGCTTATTTGCTTAAATGCTAGTAAAATATACTTGTTCTATATATACTTAGAAGTTATTTGTTACTATAGCATCTAAACCGTTATTCCTCATTGATTTCGAGTGAAAACCAGACTGTATGACTATTGTAGACCGACAAATGGCATTTTTTCTTCATATAATGATAGTAGCGGTGCTGTAACCTTTTCTTCAAATATCGCTGCAACAACGGCAATGTTTTTAGTATGTTGAGATGCAGAAGCACCGCGGCAACATGTATTTTATATAATACAGCGGCGCGGCAGCGCCGCCGCTGCTTTCGATTTCATACCACAGCGGAGCGGCAGCGGCGCGGCAGCTTTCGATTTCATACTACAGCGGCGCGGCAGTTTTCGATTTTATACCACAGCGGCGCGGCAGCACCGCTGCGCCGATGGATGTAAAAGACAGCGGCGCGGCAGCGGCAGATTTTCAGCCGCGATGGACATCTCTGCTGGTCAGACACGAATATCATGTTCAAAATGTAAATTGCGTCTTTGTTTGAATTATAAAAATAATTGTTTCATTGAGTATCATAATTAAATAATATGTTTTTCCTCAAAATAATTCTTTCTGGTTGTTGTTATTGATTTTCTTATGTGTTTGTCTTTTGCTCTTTATCTATTTATATCTCTTCTTCTTGTACAAATTGCACAAATGAATGAAAAATCACAAAATATTGCATTTTTATAGACGAAAATAAAAAGATAAAATTTATTAAAAATTTGACCCCTTGTGGCCGGATGTATCCAGTTGGAAACATCGAGTTTTTCGATACCTAAAAATTTTTTAACTACAAGAAATGAATTTTTCCTATCTACACAGTCTAGGGACAGTAAAAATACTCGAAAATTTTTTTTTACTACATGTCTTCTAGTAGCCGGTCGGAAAGGGTTAAATACCGGTAAGCACGGTCTCACAAGGATTTTTTATCAGTATGTCTCTGGTTCTCTCTCATTCCACGAATACAACTGTTGGATCACATCAATCAAATCAAGCAATTTTAATGTTTTAAATTCATGGCTTTTTTTTCTGACTAGTTCTAGGGCACGGTCTGCAGAAGAAATATTTCCTTTGTTTTATATATTCTTACCAGTTGATCAGATGTTTGTCTAGATCGAAATAAAAAAAAATTAACTTTATTTGATTCTGATCCATACCTTTATCGAGTTAATTGACAAACTCTCAGTAAAAGAAAGTCATTGTCATTTTCTAAATCATCCTTACAATTGGATGAGATCTTGCAACATATTTAAATAAAATGAAAAATTCAGTTAAAATCTTTGAGCAACGGTTTTGACCATTTATGAGAAGATATCAACACAGATTGTTTTTATCTACATCTGAAGAAGATATTTAGAAGTTAACATAGAACTGTATATTCATTGCATTTCAATGCAATATCTTAAAACAAGGGTGTGGGTGTGAGTGTGATTGTGAGTGTAGATTCAGAGAAGACCCATACTCACACGCACATCCACATCCATACCGTGACCGGGGAGGGGGGTGGGCAGGATGCCCCAGTTTTCGAAAAATTGCAGAAAATTTTCTCCAATTTTTGGAGTGCGCTCCTTCTATTTACACCTCTTCGCATCGTCCCTGAGTGAAGGTCTACTTTTCGATCCAAAAGCTTTACCTTCGGGATACTTAGTAGTTCCATTGTTGGAACGCTATAGTAAGTGTCCTATCCGAAGAGTCCGTGCATGTGACTTTTTTCTCAATAACTCGAGAACGAAAGGGAATAAAGATCTACGATTTTTGCCATTGGACACAAAACATTCTAGGGTATGAAATTATGCTCAAATTTGATTGGTCTATTTGCTGACCAATCAGATTCGAGCATAGTTTTATGGTCGGTAATATTCTTTTGGTCAAGTTTTCAACGAAGATGTTTCAAAACGATGACACCGTTTTACACGGAAGCTTTTTAACTCCAAACTAATGTAGAAATGTATCAAATAGAGATAGGCAAAGTGGTATCGTTCCGGTCTCGGGGTCCTGGACCGGAACCGAGACCGAAAAAGGCTGCTTCCGCCTATGTCTCGCTGCAAAGCGTTCACCCAAGGGATTTATCAGAATGATAATATTAAAATGCCAAAACAAAAACAAAAGTTGAAAAGGGAAAGAAATGCAATCGCATTTTACGACATCTAAGATAGGTAGCTTATAGGAAACTATAAGATCATCGTTTTCCAATATGTCAAGTATGCAATATTGAATTTCCTTGGACAACGCCGGGTACTTCAGCTAGTTCTAGATAAAAACAGAAGAATCCACCGACATATCACGAATCCATATCAAAATCATAATACATACAAAAGCAAAAATATAAACAAAACAAGTTCCAACATTCGATGTTCACTATTAGATTGATAATTTTCATTCGATCATAGATTTCCTCATCATTATCTGGATCTTGGCAAACAGATATGAAATTGCAGCAATTATGGTAGCTAGTCTCACTCACCCACTCTCAGACTCTTCTCATGTTGAATTGGCTTAGCCCCTTATTGTACTTCTGATGCCGTCACTATTATAGTGTATATTAGTTTATAAAATTTCATAAAATGGACTATCTGATAGTGGTCGTGTATTGCTGAGAAATAGGATACATGATATACATTAAAAATTTCAAAGAATTTATTGAATTTCAAAGAAAAGCGTAGAACAAGTTTGTTGATATTGTATAGTGTTAAAGTCGTGTTAAGAAAAGATATAAACATGTATGAGTCTAATGTCTAAGGAATTGTTTTTATAAGATAATAGTTTGATTTTCTTTGTTTGTTAAAGTCAATAAATATTTTTACCAATTGAATAATCTATGTTTATTGGTGAGGAGGTACTAAAATCTATTTAAATGATTAGGCTTTGCTATTCATTGAATTTTGTTCATCTAATGGTGAATCAGGTGTTGGAAGAAATTCTACTGTATTAGTTTCACCATTTCTAACATTTTCTTTTAGTTGTGGATTATTATCTGTAGTCCTTGTATTTCTACGGCTACGGTTAATTGAATAAAGATTAACATTTTCTGAATCAGTATCATTATTTTCATCATCAGAATAATCATCAATATCAATTCGTTCTTCATTAATAAATAATGTTCGAGCATAAATACGTTGATATCGATCAACAAGAACAGAAACAAGCATACCAATCGTTGCAGCACCAACTAATCCACACAAACAGGAAAGTATTCGACCGATCGGTGTTATTGGTGTTATATCACCATATCTAATATAAAAAGATTTAAATAATAAATAAAATATTTTAAAAATGTTACCCAACACTTGTTATTGTAATAGTTCCCCAATAAGCTGCTTTAAATATTGAATCAAATGCTTGACCATTTGAATGATTTTCAACATAATAAGCAATAGTACCGAAAAGAAAACCGAATACACTTAAAATAATAGTCATTATTAAAAAATCAAGTAAGGATTCTCTTATTGCTGTTGAAAGTACACGAAAAGATTTCATACTTTTAAACACTCCATAAAATTTAAAAATACGTGCAACACGAAGTATAGTTAAAAATCTAAGATTAACATAAATACGTGAATTCATTTCATTGTGTCGACTAGCTAAACGAATAGCAACTGTTATAAAAAAAGGTATTATAGCCATTAAATCAATCCAATTCATTAAACTTTTTATGAAATTAAGTAATGATGGTGTAGAGAATATACGAACCAAAAATTCAATTGTAAAAAATCCAATACAAACAGCTTGAATAATAAAGAAAGGTGATGCAAAATATGAAGAACAAACATAGGATGGTTGAGATGAATTTTGATTTGCTCCATTATTAAGATGATAATTAGTTGTTACTGTTATATTATGATCTTTTTCACAATTTAAATTATCTAAATCAACATATTGTGGTAATGTTTCAATCGAAAGAGTAATAGTTGATATAATAATCATAGCCAATGATAAAATATTAAAAATTTTTGCTATTTTTGAATAATTGGGATACTCCATTGTTACCCATAAATATCTTCGAATAGGATTTTTTGGTAAAGGAACTTTTTTAACTTCTTTTATATTTTCATCTTTACGTATTTGATTAAGTGCTTGTTCTCCTAATTGAAAAAAAGTAACTTCTTCAATAAATATATCAAGTGAAATATATTCAGGTCGTCTTAAACGACCATGTGATTGATAATAATAAAGTATTGCTTCAAAACATCCACGATGACGATCAAAAAAATATTCTTTACAATTTTTATCATAATAATATTTACGTTTTTTCTCATTTCCAAGTAATGTATCTGGATAAAGTTCAAGTGTTGTTCGCCATGTTTCATAACGCTGACCACATACATTTATTATAATACGATCATTTTTATTTTTTTCTTGTTGTTTTTGAAAATCCATTAATCGAGTATTAAAATTTTGAACATTAATAACGTCATCATCACTATTCATATATACATGTAATTATATTAATATAGAAATAATTCATATATAGATATGAGTAAAATGCATTGGTATTCTACGGATTGTATATAAATGAAATATTTTCCCAACTGTCACTTTTTTTCGAAATGAAAAAAATTCAGTTTTATAATAAAATGAGTATGTTCTCAGATTGCTTGACAAAATTCTCATCGCTTTAAATAAGTATTTATACTTTGTTATCGTATACCAGTCGAAAGATTTTGAAAAGTAGAATCTAACGAGAATATGTAGAATTTTACCCGCACATATCTATACATATCTTAAATGTGCAAGCTTATCTCAGACTGACAACAGTTGATCGAAGTCAAAGAATGTGAAATAAAACACTATTTTCTCTAAATATCTATCATTTTAATCTGTCGTAACGTTTTTTTTTTTGAGTAAAATCCTGCTTTCTCGTGAATGATACTTATTTAAGAGCTGAAATTTTTACTAGAGTTCTACCATATGGTCAACTAAAAAAGATAAAAATATCATTGTCTAATCTCTTATATTTAGTAGAAAGTTCCTTTGAAAAAAATGTTTTTATCAAAAGATTTCGCGTCTTTTAATTTATCAAACAGAAGAAGAAAATCTGAGTTTGCTTTTAAATCGGCTTTAGTAACTTCAATTTAATCAATTATGACATAAAATGGTTAAAGTGTATGTTTAGGGAGTTTGTGGAAGATTTGACAGGTAAATCGTAACTGAAGGTGAGTTCTATTTATATGGTCAGAAAGAGGAAAGTCTTATCTACAAAACAACTATAGAAAACTATTTTCATTCAGCCAAAATTGTTAGAGAAAGTGCCAAAAAGTACTGGTTTTTTTATCCGTCTTGCTTGAAAACTTCATAGCGGCAGTATCCATTAAGTAGGAGTTGAGATATACGTGTTTTTGTATTCAGAACGCAACCGTACAATACCAGTGCAATTGACCCATATATATGTATTGGTTAGAATAATAGACTATTAAAAACATTTTTGTTCTTTTTAGATAATTATTCAAGAGCTTAAAAGCATGAGCAGAGAATTTGAAACATACGCATCTTTATGAATTGTACTCCAATCTATAGTATTGACTGCCGGTGAGTCTCTTTAAATAAATAAATAATTTAAAAATAAACTTATATTTTATTTTCATACTCATATAAAGATTCTAAACGTCGTGCTTCTTGTTTAGCTAAAGGCTGAACAATAGGACGTGATCGAGAAATTCGATGTGAATGTTTTGCTGGTTGAGTACTTTCCATTGCTTATATCTATGACCATATTTTCATATAATAAACAAAAAAAAAACAACCATTATTTTATCCATAACACGTGTATTTATCAATGTCAAATGTAAGGCGCACTCAGTGCAAACTTTCCATACATTTTTTTTTTCAATCTTTTGTTCATGGTCGAATAGAGCATATTGAGTTACTTAGGAAAAGTACTTCAAATTTCGATAGTAGGTTTGTTAAGGACAACTTTCAAAAATCTCGGATTTTAGATTTCATCCCAAATGATGATTGTCTTTTTTTACATACATATACACAATTTTTTTTTTTCCATTCGATGCAACTTCATAAATATTTCTTTCTAAATCGTCACACAAACCGAGTCAGAAAAAAAAATTTAAATTGGTTTTATTCGACTCAATTTTGTGTAATGAATCAGGAAAAAATATTTATAAAATTAGACAGAATCAAAAAAAACATTGTATCTACGTATGTATGAAAAACTACCATTTTTTGCGATGAAATCTAAAATTCGAGGTTTTTCAAAATTTTTGCTTGAAAAAACTTCTATCGGGTATAAATCAAGTCTACCTTCTTGTGGTGTCTTCTGGGTCATGCCAATGGACCTCTGCAAATCTTATCATGATGTACACACCAAAGAATCTTCGTACCTATCCGGAATGAGGGATACCGGAGGTACATTTCTGAAGCCAGGCTTGGGAGTGGAGTTATGCCAGCGTCTAGTAGTTGGTCGAACATTAAGATCCGTAGACCAACCGGGATCAATCTGAAAAAGTTACAGGAGCTCACATTGGAAAAGCCAAAAGATGCTACTGATGAACTCGACAATTGTCCTGGTAGGGATCAGAAGGTAGGGCGTTGTCACAATGACAGCAGAAACTATAGATAGGAGCATGAAATGTAACGCCGTTCACGAGCAAATACTATGAATTGATGGAGGAGACGGTAAGATACTGGCTAGACATAGTCAGAGTCTCGTCTACTATCGAAAGAGAAATGGAGCATTGATCGTAGAGAACGAATGACAGCTTTTCTACTGTGAAGTCTACTCATTAATTCATTCTCAGACGGGAATGGAGGTACTTATAAGCTCCCGGATAGCTGAAAGAGTTGTTGAACGGACATCAGTTAGTTGAAGAGTCGCGCTCTTAAAGCCCAAACTGAAAGAGAAACTTCTGGCTCTAGTACAGATGTACACACAGAACACTGAGTCAGAATATGTCACTTGATAGTGTGGGTGGGAGTCTTCTCTGAATCTATACCCATATCCACATCTACACCCACAACTTTGAGGCAGCGTCGAGTGAAGTCAACAATGTTGAACCACTATGTGGCTAGAAGAAGATTGCTTGATGAAACGAAGAAGTTCACGCTGCCATTGCTGAGAAGAAAGCTACTTGACGTTCCTGGATAGGACAGCAAACAGCGGAAACTCGGCAGAGGTATCAACACGCAAGGGATATAGCAAGTGAAGTCGTGGTCAAAGCGACTATGATTTGATTGGCAAAGTATTTTGGTAAATTATTCGCTGTCTTGGAAAGAGTGGATGTTCAGCTATTCGATCGATAAATGGCACCTCTGGTTGCCTGCTATCACACGAGAAGGATATTCTCAACAAGTGGGGAGAATATTTTGCTGATTTCTGCAACTCATCTTCTGGTAGACGTGGTTGCTTATTGATACACAAACGAATGAAGCTGGCGATATCTCAGCGAAAGTAGAAACAGCTTCAAGAACTCTAAAACCTAGAAAAACAGCTCGTGTGGACGAAATAAGATTTGAAATGCTAAAATCACTCAGAAGGAAATATATTCAACTGTCAGACGATGTAGAGCCCATATTTTGGTTATATACTTGGATTCAATAAGACTATGAAAACCCTAAAAGGATTCGAGCCCATGGGATACTTGAGGGGAGATTTGATTGCCATGAAGATGTAAGAAAATGGGGTTTTTTTAACCTTTTTTTCGACTCACGAAAACAAATAAAAATTCTATATAGAAAATTTCAGATATCAGTTCTGGGGAGCAAAGAAAAAAATCGAAAAAAGAGTAAAAACCATCCCATTTCCTTACTTCTAGGCGGCAATCAAATCTCTGTCCAGGTATGCCATGGGTACAAATCCTTTTAGGATTTACTTGGTGTGACTCACTCAGGTGTTCCAAGTTATCCGAGGAAAGAGAAGAGAACCAGCAGATTGGTAGAATGGAATTGTTGTCTCTATTTTTAAAAAGTGGATTAGAAGAATTCCACTGTTAAGCTTCACTGGTAAAGTTTACGCGAAGGTTTTGGAACGAAAATGCCGGACGATAATGGAGCCTAAGATCCAGCACCCGCAATATGGCTTTCAAGGGGAACGAGGAACAACTAATCAGCTGTTCACATTCCGTCAAGTCTTTGAGCAGATCTAGGCGTTCGCCCAACCAGTTTATACCAGATTCATAGCCTTAGAGAAGGCTTTCGATCAGATCTCTCGAGACCTGTTATGGAGTGTATTACGTGAGTATAGAATCAATGGGCACCTTCTGGCAGCTATGCAATCCTTGTATAATGATTGTAAAAGTTGTGTCCATGTACACGACAGCAAGTCGGAGTGGTTTCGAGTCCGCGACGGACTTCAACAGGGCTGTGTTTCGTTTCCACTCCTATTCATAATGTGTATCGACAGAATAGGTAGGAGCAAGTTTACTCTTGATTATATCAAGATAGGTGGTCTAAGAGTTGAGTCCCTGCTCTTTGCAGATGATATAGCTCAGTTGATGTCCTCTGCTGTTGAGCTCTAACGTGCTCTGGACCTTTTTGTAGCTGAATTTTCATCTAGTATGATGCGGATCAGTACGAAGAAAATAGAGAAATGTTCTCTAAATGTTAGTAAAGCTCCATTGCAACAAGTGAGGAAGTCTAAATATCTTGGAGTTAAATTCGCGAATGATGAGAAACAGGCCAACGAAATCGATCGACGTATTGGCACAGCTAGCTTAGTGTTGCGCTCACTGTACCGATCAGTTGTAACTAAAAAGGAAGTCAGTTTGAAGATTAAGATTGCGATTTCCAACTCAGTCTATCGTCCTAACTTCATCTATGATTACGATCAATGAGTAATGATGGAAAAGAAATTCGATTTCGAATACAGAGACCCGAAATGAGATTCCTCAGGAAAGCAGCGGGCTATACATTTCGTGATAAAAATTCGCAGTTCGACCATTCAGGAGTCTCTTCAAGTCGAGTCGATACTTCTTCGTATCGACAGATCATAACTGTGTTGGTTAGTTCATGTTCTGAGAATAGCACATAAAAGGCTTGCTTATCAAGTTTGCCAAGCTACACCTGAAGGGAAAAGACTAGTGAACCATCCATAGATGAGTTGGCGCAGTGACATCATGCATCTATGAAATGCACAATAGAGACTTCCATGGACTGAGGTTATTCCAGCGGCGGAGGATCGAGACCAGTGGAAAAGTTTAGTGAATGGGCTTAAACTCCTTACCTGAAAGAAAAATGGAAAAAGAAAATGAGTGAATCAATGAAACCTTCTATCGAAAATTGCAGAGGCACCTTTTCCTAAATAACTCAATTTGTTCTATCCGACCGGGCAAAAAAAAGATGAAAAAACAGGTGTGAAAGTTTTACATTGTGTGCACCTTTTAAAGAATGAAAAAGAAATCAAATAAGCATGTAATCTTATAACACAATTTGTTATCTTACGTATAAAAAACTCTAAATTCTCGATATCGTTTGTCATCGTCGTAATGACTTATTTTTTTGGTTTTGTATGATGGTGCACACTAAGATAAAATGTGTTGGATGTGGCGTACATTGTGACACAACATACGAAAGATTAAAGTACGACACTTGATGGTCGCTGCAACACATGCAACACATTCTAAACACGTGATTTGAATATCTTTCGTAGCGTTTGTCATTTCTTCTGTAGAAACAAATAATTTTTACTTCTTATTTTAATTTGAATTAGTGATACCTATTCTTGGAAGTTGAGACGATAAGATCTTAAGACCACGTCGCCTCGAGTCGATTTCATTTTGATCAGACTGTTTTGAGAGAGCTCGTTCTCGATCATCTAGCGATCTCTTTACTTGTTCTCGAAAAAAGATTAATCGAGAATTAATCCTGAAAGAAAGATATGCGAAAATTTTATGTTCAACTGAGTTAGTTGTGTATAGCTGGAGTCGTAAAACAAAACTGTGAATGGATAGTTAGCTATTAGACTACAACACATCTAGAATATGACACATTTTATTTTAGTGTGCAATAGCTTTATTTGAGAATAATCTTGTTCAAGTTGATGATTCAATTGCATGTCATTAAAGAGAATATAAAAAAATATCCCAAATAGAATGTTCGTACTACTTTTGCACTCGCTAGGAAAGTATCATTAAGTGAGTATATAGCAAAATACTGAGTGATATTTATAACACATTTAGAAAAATCTGTTGAAAGAGTTCATTTCCAACAAACAATAAATGCTATTTGTATCGCCACTTCATACTTGAAAATATACTATAGAATTTGTAGTTTCCGAAAAAAATGCAAAATTCCCGAATGATTAGCTGAAAGAATGCAAAGTATGAAACTGGATCACCTAATCTTCCTATATATTCAAAAGCAACAATTTAAAATTGTCAAAAAAATTTCTATTTTTGTTGAATGAGTTACTCTTAATAATATTAAATGTATGACAGCGGCTTGTTTTAGTTGAATTTCAAAGAAATAATTAAAATTTTTTATCTCGAGGTTTCAGCTAGTTAAAGAAGATTAACAAAGACTTTGACATGATAATTGTTTTAATTTGAAACTTATTGGATTACTTTGTATGGATTATTCTTCTCATTGTTGTGAGAAGGTGAAGGAGGTAGAACACGAAAATAACTGAGCATAGAGAGCTAGAAGAAGAGATGAGATCATTTTATGCGTGAGAGATAAAGTAAGAGAACTAGAGATGAAGATAGAAGCGAAAAGAGAAAAGTATAGAGGAGAAATAACAGGATGGATGAGGGTGGGTGAGTTACAAGGTACCAAATTCGATTCACAGCATCATATGACGATATTTTCGACTACCGCTTATAGAGATAGTTATCATCAGGTATGTTTAGAATATATGTATGGCACTATTGTCGAATATGCAGCTCAAGGACTAATTTTGGTAAAGGATACTGCGATCGATATTTGTGTTTTGAATCTAGCTGTCTTCTATGAAGAGGGTGTAGGTGTGGATGTGAGTCTTCTCTGAATCTACACCCACACCCACCCACACCCTAATTATCAGGTTTTGCTTATGACATTTCAAAGGTGATTTATAATCGTCTTGGTTCATTTTTTTTTAACACTAAGAGCTTTATTGTTCCTTTAGTAGGTTAACAAGATAGTAGCAATAGAATGTGTTTAGTTTTACAAAAAGAAAAGAGTAAAGAATGCAAAAATACAATAATGTTAGAATATGCCATTTTATATGACAGAAGAAGTTTGAAGATGACAGAATTTCTGATAATCAAGAGGCGAAAAGAGAGAAATGATAGGAAGTAATGAGTAGGATGCATGGTGAAATAATAACAAAGGTAACTCTTTTCATGGATCGACAATTATTCTTTTTATATATATATTGTAGGCAAAATTGAAATTCAGACAAATTTAAAATTTGTCTAGGAGTTACTGCACGAGAACCACGACCTACGTTGCTTAACGATGTTCTCCGATTTTGATTTTGATTGTAGCAGTAGATAGTACTATTCAAGTTAGGAATATGTTTAAAGTTTTAACGTTCAATACCTTTCCATTATTGAGAAATAAATAGTTCATCTCTACCATCCAACGATAGAAATTACTCTAGACGATATTTTTCTAAATCATGCCGTTATTCATCTATAACGTTTCCAATCACCAAATTTGGTGGATATATATGGTGATATATGCCCTACATATCTGCGGTCCGATAATTGCCTTTCATCAGTCAATGGGTTCGTGGTAACGCTATTTTATTGCAAAAATAGCCATTTTATTCTGGATTTGATTTCTTTTACCTATCCAAACGAATTCGATACCTATCTTTATCATTTAGTACTACTAACATCACTCTACCGTAATAAATCTTCAATGGTTTGACCAAGCCTTGTAGGCCTTGGTACGGGTCCGCCCAAGTATGCAATATTTTCTTGGTATATTCACCTGCAGATATTACCACAGGATATAAGCCACGTCTACAAAAATGAATTTCTATGTTGATGTAGTTTTCAGAATTTGTAGAGCTCTCAATTCTGAGCACTTTGATAAAAAAAATTTTGAAAAGCTTCTATTTTGAATGAGATATACACAAAGGGTGTGGGTGTATTGGACTCACAACCTCACCCACACCCACACCCTCGAGCTGGTCGTTTTGATCATGGAAGATATTCTTGTCTTGTTAAATAACATTTATTTAATTCATTTCAATCATATAGAAAAAGCAGGAGTTGTACAAGAATTCCTTGATCGTCGTATTCTTCAAGCTAAAAGACTTTATATTGGTGAACGAAAAGCTATTTTAGCATTGGCTTTAGAATCACTAAATATAAATGATATTGAAGTTCGAATACTTAAATAAAAAGAAGTTTGTTTAAATAGTATTTTAATTCTCAATATGAAATAAATATTTAAGGTTGGTGCATTAACAATTATCATATTGAATTATCACGTTTAATTCCATAAGGATATGTATTTGGTTTAGTTTATGAAACAGTTGTTATTACTGAATATTTGTCAAGAAAAATTATTTTTAAAATTTATTATAAAAATCGTTTAGTTACTTAGAAGTTAATTTATTATTTTAATTTAATTTAATATATTTAGTTTTTAAGAAGTTTATTTTATTTTCCTGCTGGAACATTTTGTGATTGTCATACCTTTTTAAATGTTTATTAAGTAAATTAATTAAATAATAAATATATAAATATTTATTAATTAAAGACATGATTTTATCATGAAACAAATCAACAATTTCGAATATTTTATTCTGAACGTCGTTGAGCACATATACATATTATTGATATAAAACGTTTTATATTAAGTACATTTAGTTGTTGATCAATTACGAAATCGTTTACATCAATAAGATATATATTTACGATATCATTTTGAATCAGATCAGATGCAAAGACGAACAAATCCAATAAGACAGCAACAAAATTTACTTAATCTTAAAGTTTTTTTCCCTTAATTTTGTTTCATTGAATAAAAACTAATTTTTATTAAATTAATAGATAATTATTGCTGCTGATTTTTATTCAATTTTATTATATTGGTGAACCAATTGAATGAGAATTTGTTGATAAAGAATTATCATAAAAAGATCCATGAAGAAGAATAATGGTTTGCTTTATTTTATTTTATAAATAATAAATAATAAATGTCGAGGACTTGTTCACTTTCCTCGACAAGATTCAACTCATCAAATAGTTAATCGATCCGAATTACCATTTGATCAGATAGTTAGATGAGCAACATCACATACAAATATTCTTTCACCTCTTTATTTTCCTCTTAAACCTCCGTATTAAATAAAATAAAATATTTATTTATTTTATTAATTAATATTTCTTTTTTTTAGTATTATAAATGATAAAATAATTTTAGAAACATTTCAAAGATCAGTAGCATTAGAACGTGTTGAACATCTTCGTTTATATATCTCTCGAGGAACATATATATATATTATAATATCTTACATCATCAACGATCAACAAGATTTATTAGAAGAACATCGAGATGCTTTACTTTATTTAGCTCAACGTCAAACTAAAAACTTTATTGCTTTTTTCCTTCATTTAATACAAGATCCATTTCGCATAAATCACGATCAATTCATACAGAAACTGGTCAGTAAATGATCGCTGATTTAGCAATAGTTTTTAATATGTTATAGAAGCAATTCTTTGATGAATTTCTATAGAAGTCGTTGGAAAAAATGTTCTACCATCCATTGTCCGAGATATGTCAAACTGTTCTCGAAGTACTATCGTCAAAAAAAAGATTTTTTTTTCTAGTATTGTCTATTTCATCCAGAATAGATTCGTGTCAGTTGAAATTTTTACTGTAAATAGATCTTAGATCTAGCGAATTCTCCTAAGAGAATTATCTGATCGATAGTATAAACTAGATGAAAAAATATTCTTTTCTTTTTGACATTTTCTACATATAGATACCTCAGAAATGAACTATATTAGAGAACTTTTATTTTGGTGTGAGAGAGAGTGAGAGATCTGATGAACTACTTATTCAGATAAAAATTCAACTCTTCAGTGTAATTCATTGATAAGATATGTATATGTAGATAATGCCAAAAAAAACGCAATATTACGTCGAGTACTTTATATGATCGATAAACTTGTTAATAATCCATTGATTTGAGATAATTATTTTCGATGAATAACCTAGATCTAAAATATATTTCAAGAAAAATGGATATATATTTGATGATATATAGAGTGTTATCAATAACACAAAAAAAAAGAAATTAGTAAACGATACCTTTTCTTTAACGAGACTGATCTTAGAAAGATGAAAATACTTCGATAAGTGTAGAAGATTTTTTTTCAATCGAATTTTGTAGAAATTCAGGAAACAGTTGCTGTTATAACATATAAAATATAAGGTTAACCAAATCATCAGTCATCAAATGAGCACGGTCGGTCGTTGGTTGATTATGTAGAATAAATCATAAAAAAAATATATTTTTTATTTTAAATAAATAATTATTTTTGTTGCGGCAACAATTTATTGATTAACACAAAAAAAATAAGCTGATATTAAATGTCAATATTTAACAATAAATCTATAAACTCTTGTTGATATAAATCATTTTTGCCCTCAATATGTTCATAGAGAAACAAATAAATGATATATTATATATAATTATCTCGATTAATTCCATTGTGATCAACATCAATTGAAGTTGGTATGATGTGTGCTGCACCATTTATACTTTTATCACAAAAAACAACAACTATCAACTTGTTAAACAAAATGAATATTATCGATCAATAATAATACATCGTATTGATAATGTTATTGTTAAAGTTTTTTGTTGTTGATTGGCCAAATAGAAAACAAGTTCCTATTGATCAATGAAAATATTCTTCCATTTAATATTTATTATAATTTAGTAGGTGTACTTCAATTATCTTTATTAAAAATTGCTCCACTTGCATTTCAATGTCAATTGATGATCAATAGGAGCAAATATAGATCGATATTCATTAAATAGTTGGCCTCTTCTACCAGTTAATTATGTTTGTTTACTTATTCTTGAAAGAGAAATTGGAGCAGGAATAAAATCTGTTGCAAGAAATATTGTTAAATCCGATATTTTATTAAATATACAATAAAATAGAAATAATAATAATCAACGATTTAATGATAATCGACGAATAACTCTTTGAGAAAGTTTAATTAAAAAATGTTTTCCTTCAACAAAAAATGAAGAACATATTTTCGATGTTTTTTATTTTCTTATTAAAAATTCTAATCATCAAATGTTTTCTATATTAAAACATTTTAAGGATATTCTACATCGAAAATATATTTATTTAAAAAAAAAAAACGTTGAAAATAACTTTTGATCATCGGAAAAATATATTAAACTTCTCTTGCTTTTTTTTGGACGAGATATTTTAACAGATTTGTTTGAGAAGACTTCATTCTTACTATAACCTTTTTTTTAAATAGTCTTTCAAAGATTATCTTTCTATTTCCATTACGGAAGAGCATTAAGTCTTCTCTACTTATGAAAATTTTCTTCTTTTTTTTTGGACAAAAAATAGAAAAGTCTTTTCGAGAATCTCTAACTGGTCAATTGATATGAATCAATAAGTGTCTACATTCCTACTAAGACCATTGGAGAAACTCTTTCTTATATCAATGATTAACAACCTTATTTTATAATGAGATATTTCAATATATTATTGACGAATATTCCCAAAGAATTTAAATGAAAAACATAGATTTTTAACGTTTATTTCTATAGTCAACAGTCTTATTTATTTTGAAGATATAATCTTCGAGGAAATTTTTTATTCGATGATTCGTTGGTTGAGAAAAAAATCTTCTTTTATACTTCTTCGAATACATTAACATTATTTATTAATATGCTCATTAAAAAATCAATCGAAACAAATATTTAAAATTTATTTCAAAAAAAATTGCAAACAACTGTTAAATTTCATTTGAAATAAATTTCATCTCTATATTTGTTTTAATAATCAATATATAAGAATTCTTTTCGAAACTATGAAAACAAACGATGGAAGTTCAATCTATTTGAACTTATTCTACTGAAATTTTTATTTAAATTCTTTCTCATAATGCCTAATCATATATAAATGTGTCATTCGAAAGTATCCATCATAACTGGTAAATCCTCAATGAGAGAATTCCCTTAAATAAATATTCCATATAATAGATAAAATAGAAAATAATGAAAAGACTTTTTATATAAGATCTTCTCCTCCTTAAAAAAGTCTATTATTCATCAAAATAATTAAAATCAAGATAAATATACGGATATATCCTACCAAGTGTCATCACTCCTAACACAATATCATTTGTTATTGAGCACATTTTCTTTTCAGTTATTTTTATCATCTCATTTTCTCCTTGAAAAATATTCATTTTTTAGATAAAATCAAAGATCTTTTTCCTTTTCATTCTCTTAATATTCGCTAGATGATGGATTTTGAAATATCCTTTTCTTATATTTGCCTAGATTTTCATTATTTTTGATAAATTCATTTTCTCTCCTCGACTAAATCGAAACTCATATGAAATAAAACAAAAGAGAAATTTTCTTTTTAAAAATAATCCCCCTTTTTTAAACTTTGTTTGTTGAACGTCTTCGTCAATGTTGATAATATAAAGCTGAAAATTTGACCATAGTCTTTCTACTAGAATTCCAATTTGTCTTGAAATATTTCAATCATTTTAATGATCATAGACTAAAATCGTTTGTTTTTTTTTCGAATAGAGAAATGTTAAATAGATTTTGTCTTTTTTAGCATGATTATTGAATAGATGCTCACGCTCAAACATTTCTAAGTCATAGAAACGATTTATGATCAACTACTGATCGAACTAATCAATCATCACAAATAATTCATTTTATAAAAGAATTATCTCAATTTTATCAACGAAAACAAATTGGTCAACCTGTTACATAAACTGCTTTTTATTTATTTATTTAAAATAAATTTAATTATTAATTATTCTATTTGATTAGGTTCATATCACCATTAGAAGGAAATCATTGATTATTTCATTATGCAACAACAAATGCGTCGTGTACAAATTGATAATCAATCAATAAATTCAGTTGGTTTAGAAGAAGAAGAACAACATTGGAATTATCGACGTTAACTTGTTTCATTAGGTGTATATTTATCTCAAAGACAACAAATTGTTTCATTTCGTCATAAAATATAAATCCCATCTATTCGTGGTTTATCAGCTTTGATTGCAATCATTGTTGCACCAACTACTCAATTAAGGTTTACAAATTAAAATTAAAAAAAAATTCTATAAAATTTTTCTTTTTTGTTTAAGACTTGATGAAGAAGGAAAAGTGAAAATAGATGCTCTATGTGGTCTTGCTTTTAATCTAGTAACAAATATTTCACTTATTCCTGATCATCATATGGATATTGATTTTTATCTACAAATATCAACTGAAGATCTTATTCGACTATTTTTTATTTTATTTTAGTTTTTCTTCTCTCTTATATTTTTCTTTCGATAAATGAAATTGGCAAACAAATGAATTTAGCATTATATAGTCGACAATCAGCTGGTAAGAAAGATTTATTGAGATCAGTTCGACGAACCATAACAACTGAATTAGAAAACGTTTGTGTTTTTCTTTTTTCTATGTTAATATAATTATTTATTCTAAAATCGATTAGTTAAACGAAAACGACGACCAACATGTAGAAATAATTATTTTCGAACAATTTCAATGAAATAGAGTAAAACAAAAAAAAAAATCTTATAAAAATAAATTTAATTTAATTTATTTAGTTAAATCCAGATGATTATCTAGCAAAAATGTTTGAAAATATATCATCTAATCATTTGAAATGATTTCCACTTCATGATCATGTTAGAACTCGAATAGTTGAAATAAATGATTAATATCATTTTAAAATGATATATCATTTGACGATGGCTTTGAGAACAAGCAAATATGTTTGTCATCTATTTGATATTTTTTTAATAATTATTTATTTGTTATTTTAATAGAAGATTTATGTGTCAGATAACATGTGAATTATGTTATATGGATTTGAATTTTAGATCAGATTTATTTACTCATTTCTCATCAAGTCAACATCGAGAACTTGTTCGATAAGTTCAACTTATTCATTGTCTTTTATTTCTTTTGTTTATTATTTCTAGTTATATTTTTTGTTTCTCTTTTGTTTTTATTTTTAATAAGTGTTACCTTTTTCTTTTCTTTTTCATTAGTTGATCATACTTATTCTTTTTGTTAACATTTTTAAAAAAATGTGTTGTTCAATAGAATAAAAGTAAGATTGTGAAAGTTTCATTTGAATATAGAAAGTAAAAATATGAACAAAGATTATTATTATTATTTACTTTTTATTCAAATAAGTCAATGTGGTTTGTTCATTTAAATAGAAAATATTTTAAAATTTTTTTATGAAAAGATTTCATTGACTAAAAAACTCTGAAAATGTAGTTCTCTCCATCAAGACGCTTTTTTTATAGGATCAATAGAGACGAACTATGGAAATGAATAATAAATATATAGATCAATTATTTTCTCAAAGTTGTCAAATCACAATGAATCAATGAAGACATGATATGAAAATAAAAATGAATAGTTTCCTATTTAATAAATCAACTCTTAGAAATTCAATAAATAAAAGATTAAGAAAATGAGTTCGAAAATAGCCTCAAGTAAAAATCCATCTATATTTTAGATTTCTGGAAGATTTAATCAATTATTTATCTAATATACTTCTAAAAAGTAAAGCATATTTGTCCCGTTTTCTGCAACGCAAACCTTTTGGAATTTTGTTTCACCATCATACTTTTAAATTTTTAAGTTCATCTATTACGTTCTGAAAAATTTTGACAAAGTTTAGTCGGTGAAAACAAGGATTGAGACTAATAGATGGAACTTATGTTTTTCTTAAGCGACATACTCATCTATTTTCCGGTTATCATCTTCTATTTTCACTCTCAATAAAAACTTCACTATATACAGTAAACATCAAAAGTTTCGTATCACTTTTAATTTTAAAAAAAAATCTATTAAAATTAGAAAATATTAATTGAGAATGATCATATATATTCATAGTGGAAATTGTTTTAAATTTATATATTTATATCTATTTAATAAAAGGAATACGTGAATATAAAATATAATAAACAGTAAAAAACGAAATGTTGACAAAAAAATTATATGAAAAAGATAGTTTGATATTATTCATATAATTTTTAATAGTTTTTATAAATAAAGAAAGCTCAGTGAATCATCAAAACAATATGAAAACTTACATTTGAAAAAGTACTAAAGATATATCGCGCACACCAGCTATAATAATTTCATCTGTCTATCAACTTTGATTCACTTAATATATTCTATTAAAATAACAAAACATACTGGAAGATGTAGCATGAAAAGCTCTAGAATTAACATAAGATAGCTTTTCTCACAGTTGCATTTTTTGCTTTTAAAATTAGCAACATTTGAAGTGATCAAAATTTCGACCGCGGAAAAACGATAATTTATTGATTCCGCAGAGTTTTGCTTATTACAAAAAGAAAAAGTGAATATATAAAATATATTGTTCTTTGTAAATTGTAGAGTTTTTCACACCGCATATGGCGATATATTTTGATTTTTCTGTGTACTCAAAAAGTGAGTACACTCTAAAATCGGTTAAGGTGTCCGGCTGGTCATTTACACGATGACTTTTGGAAAACTCATGAGATTAAAACCAAAATTTTCCACACAGAATTGTCTCATCAATATCTCGGTTGAGTTCGAAGATGAAAGTGATTCATCAATCTGTTGCTGAGTTATAACAAGAAAATGTCATTTTCCTATGTCTTTTTATGCAAAAATGACATAGTCTGGTTTCCATAAAAAACTTTTTTCTCCACAATTCTATGGGCAAAAGATAGGGTTGTTCGTGGCGATCAGAGTTTTTCACTTTTTGAAGTACAAATAACACAGATTTAAATCCGATGTTTCCGCATATATTTAATATGATATACTAACTGAACAGAAATTGATATGCAAAGCACGATCATCATACCTGATGCACCCAGTAGTTTTTATTTTTTCTTTAGAATTGTTTCTCATAAAACTTCTAAAATATAGTATGAAAATATTCGTCATTTATTTCTAAAATAAAATTCATTAAGATTTAAATAAGATCAAAGTAATGATGTTTATTTTCTTTTGGTTGAATTATTAACATTAATAGATTATAAAAAAATCTTAAAAATCATATTTACATTTAATCAAATTGATCAATTTAAGGAATATTCGATGAAGAATTTTGATATGTATAAGCATCAGAAAAGATTACGAAATCAAATAAAACAATTAATTATAATTGTTTTCTTCAACAATATATTAAAAACGTTTAATTTTTTTTCTTTAAAATAAAAAATCTTGATCTTAACTAATAATTACCGTGATTTTTAATAAATTATTTTCTACAATATTGAACTTATTTTATTCACAGCTTGAACATCAAAAACAGTGACGATTAGGTCGAATAAAGATATCTTATTAAGCAAATTTATTATCGTAATGAAACGCTTGAATATTTTTTCAAAGGTTATAGATGTAGATATCTTTGTATGAAAATATTATATTAAAAAAGGGTTTATACGATTTCTAATTTTAATTCAATTTAGTGAATTGTTGATTTAATCAAACCATCAAGAAGAAAACTATCGTTTGTGTTTAATGTATTCGAGCTACTAATTAAATTTATCAAAGCAATCAATTCTATTAAATAAGCAAGTCTTTTATTGTGTGATCTTTCTTTTGTTTTATATGAATAAACTCTCGAGTATATTTATTGATATAACAGTAGAATGTCTTTCATATTAGAAAGTTTCCCTAGAAAATTTCCTCAATCAATCGGATGTTTAAGATTGAAATCTTTGGCAAAGATTTGTAAAAGAGACATCGGCACCCTAATGAAACTACTCATCAAGCGAGTACGACTTGCCAGCATGAGTACTCAAGTTACTCGTACGAGTATTTGAAGAATTTTATGTATATGAATATTGTATGTGTACCCATACGAGTACTCATACTAGTTTTTCTTTGCAGATTAACTCACAGAAAAAGACGCGAGTACTCGGTATAGTACTCATACGAGTACTCATACTAGTTTTTCTTTGCAGATTAACTCATAGAAAAAGACGTGAGTACTCGGTATAGTACTCATACGAGTTTTTTCGCAGAATATTTAGTGTAACACTTATGCACTTGTATGCACAAAAATAAATTGAAACTATGTAACAAAGAAAAACGATGTCATTTTAAATGAAAAGTAGAGAAGAACTGTTTTAATGAATTCTATAGTTTATCCTCTTATTTTCTGATGATTGATTTATACAATTTCATTGGATGATGACTTGAAGAAAAAAAGAGAACGACTTTTCATTTTTAACTGTTAAGTTCGCGAGTAAGATTTAATATTGAATTAAACATATTAATCGAAATTCATTCTAGTCTCAATTTCTAAATTTAAATAAAAAGTTCTGTATTAACATAAAGTTTTTCAGATTGATGATGAATCGTAATAGAAAAAGGGAACTAACGACTTTTGTTGCAAATCGATTGCAATTTTAAATTATAAACACATGAAGACAATGACTACAGAGGTATAATTTATTTTTACTTTTTTTTATAAATTGTTAAATGATTGTCAATATAAACGATTTTTAAACACTTATCTTTTTTGTTGTGTATCAATCAATACTGAATCTTTATTTGTAATCACATAGTTCAATTTCACTGAATAATCTATCATTTATTTTTCTCTAAATTTATTTTACTGTCACTTAATCAGCTTACTGTACTATTACTTTATAAGATAGAGACAAAGAAATCTTCATTGTTCGTTATAGAAGAAAGTTAGATATTTCTTTATCTCTAGTATTTGTGTTAAAAACTAATGCAGATAACGTAATACTTGTAACTCTCGTATTAATTGTTCTCTCATATTTTCAATATGTAGTATGGTATTTCATGCTATTAATTTTATATAAAAAATAAAATGGATGTAGCGCAACGGTAATGAACAGAATGTGGGCCTATGAGTGTTTTACATAAACGACTAGAGTACTCAAAAACTATATAGGAGTACTCGTGAAACACTCATTATTTTAAGGCAAGCACTCGATGGTCGTACTCAGATTCTAGCGCGAGTACTTGATAGTCGTACTCAGATACTCAAATTCTAGCACAAATACCACTGGTGAGTACTCAAAAGCCTTGAGTATTCATGAGCTCTCGCGGCATTTTCTAGCGTGAGTACTTTTTGAGTACTCTCTTGATGAGTACCTTCGCTAGGGCAATCTTGAAAAAATGAAAAACGAATAGAACTTTTTTAGTTTGGCGTCATTCAGTAAGTTCTATAATTAACTACTTGATCTTTCTTATGTTTTGAATTTCATGCTTTTTACAATGGAAATTCCTCCAAACATATCAGAACATCAATTCAATCGTCATTACGACTCGATACATAACGAACCAGTTTACAAGAAATGTTTGTTAGAAATTATTCATTAACATGATTTTTATTTCGAATACTATTGCCTCATCATTAAGTTTGATAAATGTCAATGTTTTCATTGGAAAGTTTCTTTTCAATTTAATGTCCATTTTCATTTGGATGGAAAAACATGATATTAACACATTTAATACAAATCCAGAGTTATCTTCATTAAAAAACTGAAACTATTTACCATGAGCCAAGAGTCTTAACTGTTTTTTCTAATATTCATATAAAGAAGCAAAAATTTCTCTACAAAACTGTTGTTTTCGCGATAATTTAGGAAATATTCTAAGTTGACTTATTAACATGAAAAAACAGTGGCAATGCCATCATTCTTCTCATCGATAAAATTTCTTTTTTTCGTCAGATCCAAGCAAAAGAAATAATGATTGAAAAAACAATAGATTGATATTCGTCTGAAGGGACATTGATAAACTGACGATCATTGTTCATCCTTTCAAATAATTTCGTTTAATTATATGATTGACTTGATTTAATAGAAAGACAATGTCATCTAAACAATAGTGGTGTGATTGTATTTGTCTCCGTCCGAAGAAGAATATTTTCAAGAAGATAGAATATTATTTTTTCGATTAATCATGTTAATTCCCTTTGTTGAAATGTTTATTTTATGGCTCATGATAGAATAATCAAACATTGTAAGTTTAGTCTTTTTTCTGTTATTGAAGGGAAACTCAACCTATGTAATTCAAATGAGCTATCTTCAATTGAAAAGCATTTCGAAGATGTTTTTAACTGATCTTTTTATTGTATGAAAATAACTTCTTTTATCATGGGAAAGTTTTTTTTTAGTAATTATTTAAATGAAATTTTAGGAGTAGCTAAGTACAAAAAATTTTATTCATGAACTTTAATTATATAATAAGTAGTTTTATAGTCAATGTTTCCCTATTTTAGTAATATTATCAAGACTATAAAAAGACAAAAAAAGAATTTCACATATATATATATATATATGGACAACAGTTGTTTAATATATGTATACTTATATGAGGTCAGATAAAGTTACATGTACATTACAATATTATTCGTAATAGAGGTTTCGAAGGTCTATCCTATTAATGATAACCATATGAATTTAACTTTATCTAACATCATAGATGTATATTATATGTTAAACAACTATTGTCAATATATATGTAGAATTCGTTTTTTTTTATAGTGTTAACAATGCTATTGAAATAGTGGAACATGTCGACTGTAAACTATTTATTATATAATTAAATTTCATGAATAAAATTTTCTGTAATAAGTTGTTGTTAAAATTTCATTGAAATAAGTATGAATATCAGTTTGAGTTTTATTAAAATAAATTACGATTGTTGTTTAGCAAAAATCAAGAGAGACGATGACATTGTGTTTGATTTTTTTAAAGTTCAAATCATATGTGCTGCTCTGCCCCGAAGGCAGCACAGGGCGAAATTGTCTTTTATGAGTCATCTTTGAGGCAGCCCAGAAAAGTTACTTTGTGTCCATCTCTGATTTGTATTGTATTTATCCTTTAGTGATGAAAAAGTGACTTTTTTTTCATTCACACATACTAACGATCATGAATCATAGCTAATCGTAGATAACAGAAGGAGAGAGAATAACATTTATTAGATTACGACATAAACTAGCAGTACACTAGCTACAAAATGACATCCAGGGTTCAACTGAAAATGTAGAGAGAAAGAAAAAGAATCAAAGGAGTCACATGAAATGATATATATATATATAGTCAGTGATAGGATGATATGGTGTTTTTATTTGTAAATGATTTCTTTACATTTGTTACCTTCTTTTTCAGATGGATAATCCGAACAACAACAACATTCCTGCTCCATTTCCTAATGACCCCAGTACCGGAAGCTCGCCTCCCGCATATAATCAACATCTTCCCCTCATCACCAGACCTCGAGCACGATCATTAGCTCGACCTGGTTCAGTATGTTTTCTACAATAAAAATATTAACATGAACTTGCATAGTTTTATTCTCGTGTTAGGAAATACAACACCATTCAGCTATTCCAGTTCGAGCTCAAGGTAAATTAAATATTAAAAATCTCTATTGATTTTGAACAAAATATTCTTCTAGATCGTCCTCGACCAATTCCCATCTCTTCCGTACGTTCTTTGTTTTTTTTTTCATTTAACAGTAATTCTAGTGAATTATCGAAAGCGAATTCTTCATCAGTGATTTTCACTGAATCTGCCATACAACTATACAGTCCATGTTAGAGAGAATGATGTTTTTCAACATAAATCATTTTAATACGAAAACAACAAGAATTAATTGTTTTTCTCTTTATCTAATATACATACAAATACTCAATGATAGCCCTAGTCGAACAGCTTGTAAGCAAGATCTTGGTCAAGATCTTGGGTACAGAAATGTGAGTAGATCTTGAAAATTTAGGTACAAGATAATCCAATTATCTTGTACCTAAGATCTGTGACTAGATCTTGGGTACAGATATATAAGATCTTGGTTACAGATTCATAAGATCTTAGGTATAGACCCGTAAGATCTTGAATACATACTGCGATAAAAAGTATCGCATGTATTGGATTTGTATCACAATCCATGATACAATCTGAAAGCGCGACTCAAACTTATCATACAGCACATTTAAATTTCTTTTTCTGTAAAAGCATATCATCAAACTTTTTCAATTTATCTTCATTTTAATTATTTCTATTCTGAATAATTGAAGCAAGTCTGATCTTGAAGCCTGCCTATTCCTGAGGTGATTCGACCACCATCAGACGGTTTCAGGTAGTCCTCTCTCGATCAGCGATCGAGATCAGCAATTTCTCGAATGATTAATACTCGAGAAAGAGTTTAGAAAAAAAAAATTATTTCGAAAAATGTATGTTTCATCATGTTGTATATATATGGCTCTGTCTGCAAAAAAAACCGGTGAATGACTAGTCAGTATGTAACCAATAAACTAATGATGTCGCTTTTTGTTTTTTTCAAGATCTTGTGAGAAGATAATAGTGAATGATATCCTTTTCATGATCTTAACAAGATCTTAAGCATAGATTTATCTGATACACTCAAGATATACACATGCAAATTATCGTCTCAAGATCTTCTCAAGATCTTGCTTATAGATCCCAAGATTTCAAGATCTTGCTTACAAGATGTTCGTCTAGGGAGCAGTCTGAATTAGTTATGTGAATGTGAAACAATTGCAGATCATTCGTCTCCTTCGACATCATTCTGTTTCTTTTTTTTTCTCATTCGTTCACAGTTAATTGCCTAGGCATTGAACATACTAAGATAAATAGAAAAATAAATATAGAGCATAGAAAGGTAGACGGAATCATCGTGTCAGTTCGTTCGTTCAGTTGATTTAAAAGAGAATATTATTCATGTGTAAAGAAAAATATCCATTATGTATTCATTTCGATTATGTGAGTATCATCACCATCATTCATCTGTGTTCTTCAGTGAGAAAACTATATTATTTACTTGATCCGATAGATAGAATTTTAAACGTTCTTTCACCCATTTGCTTTTTTTTCTAATAAGAATAATAAATACTTTTTTCCTTTGTTCCAGTCCGAACTCCTCCACCTACATTATCAACAACAAATCCTCAACATCATGTCCCATCTCCAACAACAACGACAAAAACAACAACAACAAATCCTCAACATCATGTCCCATCTCCAACAACAACAACAACAAATCCTTGACATCCTCTCCAATCAACAAAAGCAACAACAACAAATTCTTGACATTCTCTCCAACCAAAAACAACAACAACAATAAATCCTGGCCCTCTTCTCCCATCACCACTAACAGAAACAATAAATTATCCATATCCCTGTCCTTATTCATGTTCCTATATCCCTATCAGAGATGGACGAGCCGCGGTGTAACACCGCCTCGCCGGCGGGGCGGTGACGGTGCATGACGGACTTTCGCGATTTCCCCGCCTTTGTATAACCTTGATTTTCTAAATATACTCAGATCTTTAGAGACATCTTTTAAAAATTTTTTAAACTTTTTCACACAAAACTAATCAGTAAAAGGAAGCTTGTTAGTGCAGCTCCAAAGGAGCTAAAATGTGGAACCCACGTATATTTTCAAAGTTTTTTTTATCCTCATGCCTAATTTTTAAATTGTAAAATACCTTTTTTTCGAATACGTACGAAATAATTGATATATTATATAAAAACTAGAGCCTTTTATGCGCGGTTGCTGAGGTCTGTAATGGTGGGATGTCTGTAATGGGGGGTATGTCCGTAATTGGGGTATATCTGTAATGTTCTCTTTCTGGTTGCTATGTGTCTGTAATGGGATGGGGAGAGGGGAGGGGGAGCCGCCAAACCTCAAACTTAAAACATACACTTACTATTTTCTTTGAAAATATAAGTGAGTTTCACAAAATGAGTGATTTTATTATAATTGTTTTTCATTTTCATGTTTATTTTTTTTTAATTTTGAAATCACGTTTATGCATTTAAAATATGCCTTTTCATCTCATGAAATAAAATAGTCATTATGAAAGTTTAAGGAAAAATTTGTCGAGAAACAGTTTTTGAAAACATGTTGGACGGGGAGGGACGGGGCGGTGACGGTTCGACTTTTTTGCTGACTCGTCCATCTCTGGCTCTTACCATATTGTGTGATGTGTAAAAAGTTCACGTCCGAGTTGTAGGTGGTGAAAAACTAAAGTTTTGTTTTGTTTTTTGTAAAATTCGTAGTGAGAATTGTGTATTGTTCCTATCTGTTTGGTTATCTGGGGTTTTGTGAAAGGTTTCAAATGGTATGCATACTAATAGTAGAGATTATCATCGTTATATATTCCAGAATACATTTCCATCATATATCTTGACTATTGGTAGAAAAAAGATTTTATTTAAAAAAAAAAAGTGAAACGTTTCGCAGTTTTTTCAAAGGTTATCGATTTCGTAACTGATCGTTCTGTTTTTTCAAGATGAATCGATAGAATAGAAAAAATATTCTTATCAATTGATAGTGTTTTGTTAATTCAATGTTTTCTTTATTTTCTCTAATCGTTCTACGAATAGTCACTCGAATTACCAACGAGGAGATAACTAGTTAAAAAAAACAATATTTCATTTTATATTTAGATTGAATAAAGTATCCCTAATATAATGTCGGTTATAGGAGAACGTCATATTGATTATTATCTATTATAAACAAGCAACAACTGGTTAACAAACTTCTCAAATACAGTATGATTAATTAAATATCTATTTAGAGATTATTTTATCTTTTCGTCTTTTACGATATAATCAACAAAAAAATAACCTATTATATGAGATTTTTATAAAAATGGTTATTATCAATTATTATCAGATAAAGGTAACACCGGCTCTATGGATTATTTTATATTGATTGATTAAATTATTCTTCATCATCATCATTCGACTGCAAATAACCTGGGTTTGCAGGCGACAACAATCTTACGCCATTCTTCCCTATTGACAGCAGTCTTCCGGATTTCTTCGATGGTTGGTGCTGTGTCGTTGTTGATCAGTCTTGCGACGTAATCAGGATGGTTTAAACGTGGGCGACCACGTTTTCGTGTTCCATGGCCAGATTTTGGTGTATACAGAGCATACGTGTTAATAAATTCGTTTGTATTACGGCGAAGACAGTGTCCAATGAAGCGTAGTTGTCGTCGTTGTATTGTTTGTGTTAAAGGTTCCTCTTTGATTGTTTCGTATATGGTGTTGTTTTTAATTTTTTCGATTCGTTTGATGCCGAGCATTACCCTATAACAGCTAGTAGCGAAACTGTTTAAGGTATTCTCGAGCTTGTTTGTGATTATCCAACTTTCACATCCATATAATAGTATTGAAAGGCATGAAGTTTTGAATATATTAATTTTGAGTTTGATTGGTATTGTTGTTGATTTCCATGTGTTTTTCAATTTCCAAAAGGCTTTCCATGCTTGGCTTTTTCGTACTTTGATGTCTGTGGTGGTAGATAACATCATTGAACCGAGGTATTTGAAGTTGTCGACCCATTTAATGTTCTGTCCATCAAGTTGCATTGTTTGATTGTTTGTGTTTTGGTTGGTTAATGCTTGAGTTTTCTTGATGTTGATTTGTAGACCCACTTCGCTAGCCCTCTTCGCTGTTTGAACGAGCTGTGATTGTGCTCTATCAAAACTATTTTCCAGGAGAGCTATGTCGTCGGCGAAGTCAAGGTCATGTATACATGTTGGTGGTTGTCGACTGGATTGTCTCTTGTTTGTTACGAAGCCATGTTCTCCCTTTTCGTTTGTGTGATCTAATTGAGCATTTTTCATTACGTACTCGATCACTATTATGAAAAGGAATGGTGCTAAGGTGTCTCCTTGGAGAACACCTGTCGTTACGTCGAATTCTTCAGAGGCGTTGCCGTCTACGAGAACTATACTTTTGGTATTATGATATATGGCTTCGATTGCACATACTATTTTAGTAGGCACCCCTTAATGCCTTAAGATGTTGAACATTGTTTTTCTATTGATTGAGTCGAAGGCTTTTTTAAAGTCTACGAAAGTTATGTAGATTGGAAGTTGTTTATCGATTGCGCTTTCTAGAATTCTACGTATGACATGAATCTGATCAATGCAGCTTCGTCCTTTCCTGAAACCTGCCTGGTTTACCCTTAGAATCGAGTCAAGTGGTTCTCTTATTCTGTTTAACAGGATTCCGTTATAGGTTTTAGCTGCTACTGACATAAGACTGATGCCTCTAGTTCGTCGTAAGCGTTTTGTCGCCTTTTTTTGGTATTGGTATTATGATGTTGGTGTTGAGTTGTTTTGGTGTTTGTTGATTGTTGTAGATTTCATTGCATATATTACAAAGTTGATTCATAATCCATCTACCACCATATTTCAGAACTTCAGGTGCTATTGAATAGTCAATTCCAGGAGATTTTCCGTCTTTTAATTGTTTTATTGCTTGTTCCACTTCGTTGATTGTTATTGGACCTTGGTTGATTGGTAGGTCTTCAGGAGCTGATGGTATTGCTTGAGTGTTTAGATTGATGTTTGTTTTGACGTTAAGTAGTTCTTCGAAATATGTTTTCCATTCATGCATAAGTTCATTGGTTGAGTTAATTTTTGTACCATCTTTTCGTTTGATTTTTGATGTGCTGTAGCTTGTGCGTTTTCCACTGATTTCGTCGATCAGGGACCATGTTGTTCTTAGATGATTTGATGCCATTGCTTGTTTGAGTTGTTCTAATTTATCTTCTAAGAAGTTGATTTTGTCGTTGTTGTACGATTCGTCGAGTTGTTTGTTGAGTATGTGCCAATGGTTTTTATTTTCTATGCTTGGTTGTTGTTTGAATTTGGATTTGGCGCTGTTTCGTTTTTCCAGAAGATCGATAGTAGTAGTTGAAACCCAGTTTTTCCGTTTTTTTCGAGTTGTTTTCCCAATGAGTTTTTCTGTTGTGTCTTGTATACTAGTTACAAAATTGTCATATTTTGTTTGTATGTCGTTGTCTGTGTTGATGTTCTGTAGGATTTCGTATCGATTTTGTACTTCAATGTTGAATTGGGCTTGTAGTACGGAGTTGGTTTTGAGTTTGTTCCAGTCAAATTTGATCCTTTTGTTTTTGTTTTGTTTCGGCGCTCGGAGGCTGATTGATAATTTAGCGCTGACAATGCGATGATCGGAGTTCAATTCAACTGTGTTATATGCACGTACATTTCGAATTGAGTTTAACCATTTTCCGTTTATGAGTATGTGATCAATTTGAGCTTTGGATTTACCATTTGGATGTAGCCAGATCCATGATCTTGACTTTGGATGTGGGAACCGTGTTTGTGTTGATCGCATGTTGCAAGTTTCACAGTAGTTGATAAGTCGGTTGCCGTTGTCGTCGGTTAATTGATGGTATGTGTATCTACCAATTGTTCGTGGATTTGTTGTATGGCTGTCGGTTCCTATTCTTGCGTTGAGATCACCAGCAAGAATCAGGACGTTGTGTGGAGGAACGTCGAGCGTACATTGTTGCAGATCATTGTAGAAGGTGTCTTTTTCGATATCACTTTTGTCTTCCGTAGGCACATATGCAATGATGATTGTTGTTGCTGGATTCCCATTAAAGTGCACCATCATAATGCGATTTGATACTTTTTCTGATGAGTTGAAAAATGCTGACATTCTGGGATTTATGAGTAATCCTATGCCACCGTGTCCATCTGAGGTTGCTGAAGAATATTCAAATCGCCAGATTTGATCATTGAGTATTGTATAGCACGTATTGATTTGTTCTGTTGTTTGCCAACGATGTTCTTGAATTGCTACCAAATCGATGTTGTTTTTGCTGCATTCTTATATAAGTTGGTGAAGTTTTCCAGTTTGTTTGAGAGTACGCACGTTGTAGGTGGATATTGTGATGGCCTTGTGATGAGTTTTTGTATTTTTTGTGTTTTTGTTTTTATTTGTGTTTGTTCGAATCGTCGATGCTTTCTCAAAGACAGGTGCCTGCCTTATCATAGGCTCAGATTTTTGTGAAATCCTCGCATGCATACGACGAGACGAAAGACTGTTGCCCGGAATAGGTTCTTCGATTATTGTTTTTGGAGTCATTGTGAAGGTCATCTCGGGTGA